TACTGGGTCAGACCAAAGGTCCATCTAGCCCAGTAGCCTGTCTGCCAACAGCGGCCAACACTAGGTACCCTGGAGGGGATGGACCGAAGACAATGACCAAGCCATTTGTCTTGCGCCATCCATCTCCAGCCTTCCACAAACAGAGGTCAGGGACACCATTCCTACCCCCTGGCTAATAGCAGTCCATGGACCCAACCTCCATGACTTTATCTCACTTCTCTTTAAACTCTGTTATAGTTCTAGCCTTTACAGCCTCCTGTGGCAAGGAGTTCCACAGGTTGACTATTTGCTTTGTGAAGAAGAACTTTCTTTTATGAGTCTGAAGCCTGCTACCCATTCATTTCATTTGGTGTCCTCTAGTCCTTATATTATGGGAATTAATGAAGAACTTTTCTTTATGCACCCTCTCCACACCACTCATGATTTTATAGACCTCTATCATATCCCCCCTCAGTCTCCTCTTTTCCATACTGAAAAGTCCCAGTCTCTTTAGCCTCTCTTCTTATGGGACCTGTTCCAAACCCCTGATCATTTTAGTTGCCCTTTTCGGAACCCTTTCCAAGGCCAAAATATCTTTTCTGGGGTGAGATCATATCTGTACACAGTACTGAAGATGTGGGCATACCATAGTTTTATACTTCCCCTCCTCCTTCTTCCCCTGGCTTCCCCCTTCCAGCACCCTCCTCCTAAGTTTTGCCCTCCCCTCTCCCACCCTCTCTCTTCCCCTCTCCCACCTCCTTTTCCCAGTCTCCCCAGAGGTTAATCCCCTCCCCACTCTCAGTTTTGTTAAATAAAGAGAGTTTTTATTTTTGAACACACGTGTCCTTTATTTTTTACATCAGGAAGGGGGGCTAAGGAGGGGTAAGTGAAAGGTGGTGAGGGAGGAATGGGGTACGAGCCCCCGATGGGGAGGACTGGCATGGCTCTGCGGGCTCCTCAGGGTGGAAGCTCTCCTCCAGCGCCCCGACTGACCCCCCCAGATGGCAGCCTGCGACAAGTGCAGCCGGGCTGATGGCCGAGTGCTGTGATGTGTCGAGTGCGGGCACTCAGAGCACTCCAAGACAGGACTGCTTTACTGTCCCTCATTGAGGTAGACAAGCAAGTGGGGAACCCTGAGAACTGTCTGTCCGGGGTGGGGGTTGGGTCCCCTTAAGCACAGCCCTCAGCTAGCCTGAGACAGCAGCTCCACGCTCTAAGTCCTAACCTGATGCCCTGCCGGCACTGCTTCCGGCCAGCCTTAACCTCGGTTCAGGGTCCACTCAATGTGGACATGCTAGTTCGAATGAACAAAACACTAATTCGAACTAGTTTTTAGTCTAGATGCACTAGTTCGAATTAGCTTAGTTTGAATTAACTAATTCAAATTAAGTTAGTTCGAATTAGTGCTGTAGTGTAGACATACCCAGGGTTGGTAGTGTGTACACTCCACTTATTATTTTAAAATAAGGGGAGGAGGTGAGGTTATTTCAAAATAACTCCCTAGTATAGCCCAGAGACTCCTTCTCCTTCCTCTTCTTCATTTTCTTATTGTTGGATGTGGGATCAAGAAAGGTGTCTTGCGTTCATGGCTTTGTCACTGATTGTTTAGAGCTGGCACTGGGACTCTTCATGTCAATGGCTTTGTCATCTCCTTGGACACAGAAAAGAAGCAGGCACTATGGTAGCATAGACATAGCTGGAGAGAGTGATTTTTTAAAATGCCTTCTGCCTGTCACAAGTAAAATCTGTCGTATGCTGAGCCCATTTCTGGTGGGTACATAAGTCCAATATAAGTTCCTCTCCTCACTATTCTATCTGTGTGCACAAAATAACTCCTGCCTATTCTGCTCTAATGTGGACTCAAGTTATGTCCCACTTTTCAGTTGGGATAACCACAGGAAAATTCCAGGCTGGATTTAGGTGCCCACCTAGCATGGATTGAACAACACAAACCATTTTGTTACATTTTGTTCTTCCTTGAATGATTGACATCAGTTCCAGAGGCCTTATTGGATTGCCTTTGTAAATACAGTGTTGGTTTGAGTACAGTCTCTTTTTTGCTAAGATTTACTATAGTGTTGTATTGTATGCAGTTTCAAAGGCTTAGGTTTCTGCATTTATCAGACTATCTTCAACTATTTTAAAAATTGAAAAACAATGAATAGTCATGTGGCACCTTAGGATATGTCTAGACTACATGGCTCCGTCGACGGAGCCATGTAGATGAGTTTACTAGACATAGGAAAATGAAGCGGCAATTTAAATAATCGCCACTTCACTTACATCAAAATAGCTGCCGCACTGTGCTGATCAGCTGTTTGGCAGCACAGTGCAGTAGTCGGGACGCTCCGCGGTCACAACAGAAGCCTTTGTCGACTGCTCCGGTAAACCTCATTCCACGGGGCATAACGGAGTGGTCGACAAAGGGTTCCGTTGTCGACCACGGAGTGTCCAGACTACCGCGCTGAGCCACCAAACAGCTGATCGGCACAGCGTGGCAGCCATTTTGATGTAAATGAAGCGGCGATTATTTAAATCGACGCTTCATTTTCCTATGTCTAGTAAACTCATCTACATGGCTCCGTCGACAAAGCCATGTAGTCTAGACATATCCTAAGGTGCCACATGACTATTCATTGTTTTTCAATTTTTAAAATAGTTGAAGATAGTCTGATAAATGCAGAAACCTAAGCCTTTGAAACTGCATACAATACAACACTATAGTAAATCTTAGCAAAAAAGAGACTGTACTCAAACCAACACTGTATTTACAAAGGCAATCCAATAAGGCCTCTGGAACTGATGTCAATCATTCAAGGAAGAACAAAATGTAACAAAATGGTTTGTGTTGTTCAATCCATGCTAGGTGGGCACCTAAATCCAGCCTGGAATTTTCCTGTGGTTATCCCAACTGAAAAGTGGGACATAACTTGAGTCCACATTAGAGCAGAATAGGCAGGAGTTATTTTGTGCACACAGATAGAATAGTGAGGAGAGGAACTTATATTGGACTTATGTACCCACCAGAAATGGGCTCAGCATACGACAGATTTTACTTGTGACAGGCAGAAGGCATTTTAAAAAATCACTCTCTCCAGCTATGTCTATGCTACCATAGTGCCTGCTTCTTTTCTGTGTCCAAGGAGATGACAAAGCCATTGACATGAAGAGTCCCAGTGCCAGCTCTAAACAATCAGTGACAAAGCCATGAACGCAAGACACCTTTCTTGATCCCACATCCAACAATAAGAAAATGAAGAAGAGGAAGGAGAAGGAAGAAAGCAACCAGGTATGCTTCCACTGACATTTCCTTCTTCTATGCTTCATTCATATCAGAGAGTAACACTTTAAAAATGAATACATGACATTCTACTACCAGCAGCTTTAAAAGATGCACTATAAATCCCTAACACCCGCAAATAACTTTGCTTACATAGGCTCCATAGATAAGAAAATAACACAAAATAAAAGAGAGGAAAAAAGATTAAGTAAGTGCTGTAGTCTTTTTTCTCCTACAGAAGGAACCTTAACAATTAAATTATTATGTGAAGAGGTTTTTTTTTCACTAAACTGATTTCCTTATGGTAAAAAGTTCCTGACTAATTTCTTTTCCCTGCCCCTCTTTTAACTACACAAACATTCAGTTGACTCTTAGGGTACATCTACACAACAATTATTTTGAAATAACTTAGTCCGCATCTACACAGCAGGCAGTTATTTTGAAATAATGACAAAACACTGTCAAGCTGGAGGACTTCTTACTCCAACTACTGTAACCCTCACTGTATGAGAAATAAGGGAAGTCAAAGGAAGGCTATATCTAGACTGCTTTATTTTGAAATACTTTTTGAAAATAGAATGCAGTTTAGACGTACCTGAAGAGTGCTCTATTTTGAAATAGGCACTGCTGA